TAAGGCAGAAAAACCTTACTGTAAGCCTCACCCACCCCATACCTTTCCTAACCTACCACCCAAGCCCATGCTTCTCAACACCCAAAAGAAATCCACTGCCAACCAGTACTCTACAGCCCATCCTATTACAATAGACCAAGCCACTCAAGCCTCACCCACTCCTGAATCACAAGACATGTCAACCCAAACCACCACTACTAGAAGGAAGACATGGCACCCAGACCCAGCCATGTCTTCACAGTTATCAACGACACCTATCAACAAATCAACAACCTGCCTCCCAGCCCCAAGCCGATTTCTACTTCATCAGTGTCAAGCTCACCAAACGCCCTAGTAATTGACACCTCCCCCGATCTTTACCTACCTGACGAACCTTTCTGTGCCTTCCGTCCATTCACCAACTACACCGAGGACTCCGCGCCTTTACCACTTGCCTGAACCGGAACCTATTCAATAAGAAAACCAAGATGAACACCAGGAGACTCCACAACTCATTCAAAAGCTAATCAACCTCCAGCATCGGACTTCACTTTGCCTCCCCCCCTTTTTTACCGTTACTCTCACGTTTACCTTTTTAAACTTACATACCTTGTCTGCATTAATTTCCTATTTTCTCAAGTTAAGCCCATATTCCTAGACCACGCGCGGGGTGAAGGAGGATTGTTTAATCTTTGTGCACCCTTGATTAATAAATATTTCATAGGAGATAATTATTTTTAAATCAAAATAACTGCCAAGAACAACAACAACATCACCATTTGAAGAGCAAGAAGGACCAAAACAATGTGTAGGTAAGCCTTGTTGTCCATGTGTAGAACATGGAATTCCTGACTGTTGAGATATGTACCTCATAAAGATATGATCTCTGGATGAGGTGGTGGCAGAGGAACCCTATCTTAGTATTGTCCTAACTTAACCACCCCTCGAGACCGAAGAAAAATCCTGAATAAGAAAACTGGAGAATCCAGGAAATTGATGTTTGTGATCCCTTGGTCAGATATAGCCCATTAAAAGGATCTCTTGTACATTTGTCTCAAAGACATGAGAGATTTGAGTGATGTCCACATTCCCAAAAAGAAAGAACCATCTGTGCCATGGGAGAAGGAGAGCGGAGTAAGAATTGGGCTTTCTGTTCCATAGCGTGAAGAAAAAATACCCATACTGACAGCATATTAAGTTGGAGCAAGAATAGATGTCTCAGATCTGAGAATGAACCCTGCATTGGTTGTTCTGAAAGTAGAATCTGGGTGTGAATGTTTGGACACTTGAAAAGATGGTGTCAGCAGTAACCAGTCATCCACTGAATAGTGTGTGCACAGGGCTAGGGAATGGTGAAACAAGAAAAATCTCATATGAATTGGCAGAACCCACATGGTGCCAAAGCTTGTCAGAAGGTAAGAACCCTGAATTGGAGTACCTGACCCTTGTGCACAAAAAATGCCAAAAGTGATGGGATACCTCCACTATGGCAATATGCAGATAGGAGCCAACTAAATCAAATTCAGAAATGAGTCACTTGTTGAAGAATCTAGGCATTGATATAGATGAGAAAAATCAATTACTGGACACCCATTTCCTATCTCTTAGACCCAAACAACCAATGGAAATAAAACCCCAGGAGAACTAGCAAGACACTCTCTCTCTACCCTTAGACCAACCAAACTCTCATAGCCACAGATCTAAATTCCGAAATCCAAGGATCTGCGGAAGATCGAAACCCTACAGGTTCGGTGGATAATGGTGTTGAAGATGTGAAGTGTATGACTAATCCTGACTCTAGGACTTCTAGTGCCCATGGATGCGAGGGTAAAGTGACATTCGTCCAGACATTCTTTGAGCCGAGTTTCCATAGACCCTGAAGGCATACAATAATCCCCGACACCTCCGGCGGCTTTCTGACTGAGCAGTGGAACCTATGAATATGGTCAGAATCTATCTTGGGTACCCTTGTACTGAGGGGCTGATGTTAGGGGTCGAGACTCTCGAAAAGGGGTGGAACTATGAACCTTGTAGGTGGCAATAACAGTCGAGACACTAATGACAACAGGGACAAATGTAGAAGTCAACAACTGAATCAATGAGCATGCTAACAATGGTTTCAGCTCATCAGTAATGAAGTTGGAGAACCTGAGAGTCTTCAAACAAGGTTTAGTATTAGAAAAACAAAATGTTGGATGCTAGAGTTGTAAGTCCATGGACATACCCCTGTCCCACCAGGAAATATTGATCTATTCAGGTGAATTACCAACACCACCTTAGAACCCCCCAATTTCGAGAAGCAGATGTAGTATTTGAGTCAAAATATACATCCATTGTAGTGGTTAAAGCCTAGCTGTCCCATTTTGTAACTGAGCATTAAATCTCCTTGCAGGAACCACATTGTCTGTGGATGCAGAAAGAACTAAATATATGTAACCAGACCTTACAGCCATCAAGTAAGTGCAGGCTCAAAAGCCACTTGGGAAAGACCCAAAACATCATGCTCAATGTACCAACTGAAGAAAACAACTCTGAAGCAGCTGATCTTAAAGTAGCCTCCCTTTTGTTGTCTTGTAAATGTTGGGCCAACTGCTATGTCCCCGATATGAAATTGAACCCCAAACTGCAGCATTGCAAGTCCATAAGTTTACCACTGTCCCACAGGGAACTGAGAAACTAATATAATAAATGAAGCACTGGAAAAAGCTAATCAAAATTCTTTTCAGAATGCCCAGGATTGCCTGCAATTGTAACCTCAGTGCCCCCTGGAGGAACACCACTGAACCAAATATATGTCTCCATTTCACTATGAATAAGATCATTGATGCACTGATAGTCTCAACCAAGAGTGACTTCCCCCACCCCCCTGGTGTTGTGCGACGTTAGATATCAGAGGTGGGATAGGATAGACATGATTTGCCTCTGTGCTGGAAATAATAATCTGGAAATACAAACCATATATCGCTTGTCAATCGTTCTTTTGTTTTGTTTTGCAAAATTCAACCAGATGCTACTAAGAATGCTCAAAGTATCTCCAATGATTGTAGTACAAGTATGTAGAAACCTGTTATTGAACACTTTGTCAAGAAAAAGTGATAACATTATAACAATATGTGAATGAGGTGCTTTTATACAGTACCAGGATAGAGGATGCATTAACGTAGATGGAGAGTGTCATGTGATAAATATCGCCAAGGGTAATTAAGTCGGGTGTAAAAGACTGGAGTAAGCGAGAAAAATCAGACCAATGTTTAGATGAGCAATGGAAGAAACCCTGGCAGTCGAGTAATAGCTATAAGTGGGAGAGGAGGTGTGTATGTTTTGGAAGTGAAATACAGATATACATTATTATCATCCTTCATAACTTTCAGACTGCAATCAGATACACTTGTTTACACTGTACATTGTTAAGTTATCACTCTTGAAACACTACATGGTTACAGTCAGAAACATCTTTCTGGACTGTACATTGCTATTTTATTACTCTTAATAACACTAGGAGACAACAGTCAGATACATCTTAAACTGTGCATTGCTAAGTTATAACTCTTAATAATGCTATAAGACAACAGCCAAACATCTTCTCTACATTGTATAATAATACAGTGAAGCTATAGCAAGATCTATAGGTACATGTCATTTTGGTACTCATCAAATGTGTCATTAATTGTTTCAAGTTTTAAAAATCCTCTTACACTATAACCAGATCCCTACTTGGTGTCCTTTAAAGCAGGAAGAACCTTCACCAATCATAGATGAATTATTCATTAGCATTTTGAATCTAAAAACACCTTGAGATTCCTGAAATTATCATTAAATAAGATGTTTCATTTTGCTAACCTGTTTACATTGTACATTATTAAATTCTTGAATAAGAATACGTTTGGCATTACTGAAACAAAATAAAATGCCATAATTCAGAATCAAACCTATAGTTATTCAGTTTTGAGAATTACTGCTTCCACAGCAGAAACAGTTGTTAGACAAGTTATCAGGGAGTTGTTTTCTGTTTGGCACCATTATGTATGTTAAATCAATTGTTTGACATTTACATACGTGTAGTGAGCTGTTGCATACCTGTAATGCTTTAAATTGACACTAAAATAAAAGTATGAAAATCTGCATACACAACAGAATTTAAAAGGATTAAATGAAACACCTTCAAATATGAAAAGTTCACTGTATTAAATACAGCAGGTATAGAATTACATCTATCATTTTCTATTATCTAATTATTTTGTCAACTACTTACATTTACTCATAGATTTGTGATTTTACGTAACTCTTCTATATTTCAATAATAACCTAAATATTCCATAAGGTCATCTTAAGATGACAAACTACAATAGTACACATACTTTAGTTATGTCTGTTTTTAAATAATTTACTGAACCTTTTCATGATCTTATGAACAAATACAGTCAAATATGAGCTTCCTCTGAGTATTAGGAAAATATTGTAATGTAAGTAGCTACAGTCAGTCAGGACCTATCAATTACATTTTAATGAATATAAGTGTATTTATAGCAATAAACATGTACAGGACACAAGATATCTTTAGCAGCATAATTAAAGTTTACTAGAGGCTTCTAAATCTTCCTTATCTTTTTTCTCATTTTGACTTCTTTGATAACTGTAACGAGGCCGAGCTCCATGTGCTACACCACTTTCAACAGAACAGTTTTCCCTCTCCTCATCACTGTTATTACTTGAAATTGTTCTTCTGCACACATTTTCTTCAGCCACATAAATGTGGTTCCAATTTGGGGTTATACACACAGTGCCCAATTCAGCAACATCTAAACAAGTATTTTCATCATAGGTGGATTTTTGCATTCTCTCTACATTAACATATTCATTAATTATTTTCTCACATTGGCTAGAGGGGAAGTAGCCTGTAGGGTATCTTCTGATTAAACCAAGTTCTGGTTCAGATGATATGTTTACTGCTCTCTGGCTAGGTGGAGTGCAGTTCTGAAAGTCACGAGTTGAACAAAGTTGTAAACCAGTTGGTGTAGCCAGGCTGTTTGACTTTTCTAGTCTGACAGGTTGCCTTCCTGAGGTTCCAACTGGCTCCTGCTTCTCAGTAGAAATAAAACTACTATGTATCTCATTTTCTGCATCAGAATATTCAGAAAGGGGGAGCACTACATTGGCACTATCACTGTTATGAACAAATTTTCTTTCTCCAGTTTCTGAGCACACTGATCCAGATCGTGAAAGTTTCTTCTCCAACTGGCTCTCCTGACAAGAATATGGCACAATACACTGTTGAACAATGCATGCCTCGACTTCATCAAAATTATAAAGAAAGTTGGTGGGGCAAGAAGTTTCAATTTCCACTGGATAATGATTAACTATGGTTTCAGTGCAGCAAGAAACAGAAACCACTGCAGAAGAAATTGACTTGTGATTTTCTTGAGAAGCCAACAATGTGTTATTAGCTGCAGGAAGCACTGCACTTCTTGCATGATGAAGCTGACATGACCCCATTTTTAAAGAAGCACTTGTACTTTTTGGACAAATTATCATTTGGCTTAAATTCCTAAAAGATTGTATTGGTGACACAACCATCTCAGGACTGTTAATACCACTACTGATTGAAGACAAGCTACCTTTTATGTTAGGATTTAATGGCTCTGGATGTTCTTCTACAAAGTCTTCTTGGTCTTGAAAAATGGGATTTGCCTTTACACTTATAATACTGTTTGAGCAGAGGTTTGTTTCTGATGGAACTTCCAATGTTTCAAAAGATGAGATATCTATATAAGAAACCTCCTCAGGACATTCTTTCTTGTCTTCATTTTTACTCATTTTCTTTTTGTTCTTCTGGTGTACTGAAAACATCAGCATTTGTTGAAGGGTCCTATCCAGTGAATTATTTTTGTTGGCTGTAGAATCAGAAATTGACAGGGTTTTCTTGGTAGTCAGAAAATTTGATGAATTTGTATTGGCTGACATATTTGTATCAGAAACAAAGTCTATATCTAACGAACTTGAATTACTACTAGAGGGACTAGGATTTTGCTGTTCATATGTTGGACTGGAACTGGATGACAGATCACTACACCAAGTAGTTGGATCTGGATAAATATTGTTATCTACAATACCCTTAGTTTGTAAAGTGAGTCCCTTTTTCTTGTCTTTTTGCAATCGAAGTAGTCTGTGTTTCCAGTATTCAATTATAGCACTATAGGAATGATGATTTTTCTCAGAATTTTGAGTAGTTGTCTCAATGTCTCTTGGTAATCCAGGTTCGCTGGAAACAGATGAATGTAAACTTATTTCTTTAGGGAGTTCTTCACTTAAAGATGTTGGGGTATATAACATGTTACCATTGACAACATCTTCATCTTTCAAAGCTAAATTACAAGGAGTACGTCTATTCTTGATGCATAACACCATTGCATTATTTAACATGTACATAGAAGTATCTTCATGCTCAGCACTAAATCTGCTAGCACTGTTATCTGAACCTACAAAAGAAGCATTTTCAACTTCATTCTCAGTTGTTATGCTGCCACTAGAGATACTAAGTGGAGGTGGACTGTTGGCTATATATGGAGGTTCATCTTCACTACGAGCCATGCATGGTCTGTCCACAGACTGGCACTCTGATAATGGGGTTTCTGTAGATTCCTTACCATCAGGAGAGGAGCGCAGTGGAGGAAAAGTTACATCCTCCTGAGAGTTCCATCTACCATGTGATAGAGAAATAGTAGAATAAGGAGCTTGACCAATCTCCACAGAAACTGTGTATGAAGGAGGAGCCTCCCCTGGAGAAATGTATGTCTCTGGGGGTTTCCAGAATGCATATGGTGGTGGAGGATCATCAAAAAGTCCAAAGTCAATGTGGTCCTGACCAAAAAAATATCCCACAGTTGCATCATCTTCAAGAGAAAACCTTCTGGAAACCTGAGATTCACTAGTGCCTCCACTTCCACCATTCAAACCTAAAGAAGAAAAAAATCAAGGTAACTATTTACACATAAACTATTGTTTCATATGATATTAAAAAAATTAGAGAAATTAAAATACAAAGTTTGATTTCATGAGAATCTCAAAACAAGGCTATAATAATGAAAACATATTCATTGTTGAAAATGAGACTGAATTATGGCTCTTCTTAAATAGAAATGTACAATATTATTATTAGAACTACATAAAGGTATTTTATGCTTGAATTGCATGATGCAAAAGCATAATAAAGACTAAGTTATGAGCATAATAAACTTGCTCTTCAGAATGCCATGGGGATTGTTGAGAGTACTGATGACTCAAGAAAAGAAATACAGCAATAGAATATAAGCAAAAACAATATAGTTAACTTTCATAATTTCACACCTTTATGAGAATGTTGCTAACAACAAATTAAGCATTTTATAATTTAGTCATCTATACACTGATGTTTATATAATGCTTAAAACAGTACCCTCACTACTGAGAGTTAATGAGGTGGTAATGCCATAAAATGTCACAATTTCTAACTAAAGTCTAAATAGTGAAACTATCTAATTACATTGTGTAAACAAGAGTTTTAATAACCCTTAAACTACTTCTAATCTGTAAAGAGGATACACTTAGGATGACTTCTTAAGTTTCTTAAATATATATATATATATTTTTTTTTTCAAATACAATAAACAAAAACTTTAATTGGCACGTTGTTGTGATTAAACACAACATATACAGACACAAAAATAGATATCTCAGAAATTACTCTATGCAATTGAAAAACATATTTTTACTTTTTTCTGGAACTTGAGGTTAGAGGCAAAAGCTTTGTTTAAGATTGGCAATGATGGTTATTCATACTTGATGCTTAAATCCCCCAATACTGAAATTAAAGGTCAATAATGTTTCAAAATGAAACTATATATATACAAATTTACAAGTATTAAATATTTTAGTGAATTATCCAAGGTTTAATGTTACAGTAAAGCGGACGAGTACACTGAATTGTCAGTTTATTTATCCGAGTAATGATCTTTTATAAAATATCATTTTATTCACAGAGTGTATAATGAAGTTTCATGTAGTAGCCAATGCTTTTTTGAGACAGACTTGGACAACATGAAATATGTTTTCAGTTACACATATCAATATTGATAATTTTGTTTGAGCAAATTAACCCCCAAAATGGCAGCCTACAGTATTTAATGCAATATAAATTTTGAAAATAGTCTTAAAGTTCCACAAGTATTTTTAGATAGCCAACTTAACCTTTGACACGAAAACATCTGGTCGAACTTCCAAAATAAATATACTCATGCACCAATACAAAAGAAAACATTTTGACATATAAAGTTCAAATTATGTCAATGTAGAAATTTAAAGCTACATTTATTGCAATGTACAAAAAGTATGTAATCTCTCTTGTAGCCAATCTTTTTTTTTCTTTAAAAGTGGCTGAGCAAATTCTTCATAATGTACAAAAAAACAGTCTGAAAGAATGGAAGTTAATATTTTCCAACACAGAAAATGTATTTCCAATAGATACTTACCTCTAATCACAATAATTTCTTTCTTATCCATGAAATGTTCATTGTTACTAATAGTGAATTTCTTTGCATATGTTATAATTTTCCTAAATCAAAATGTATTTCTGATAGGTGCTTCCCTCCGCTCACAAGATTAGCTTTTCTCATCTTGTGTTGCTCTCTATATGCAAACATTTTTCAGAAATGCATGCCATAAGCCTTCATCCTCCTTCTGTTGGAATCCAAAGTTCCAACATGTCTCTCATGCAAATCATTATGTGTCACCTCTCCACCAATAGGAGAGCACTACTATCATGTGATGCATGTGACTCCCTCTACACGCCACTACCAAAGTTTGGCAGAAGATGCGAGCATCAGAAGATTGTGGGAGGATGGGTGGGAAGTGTGAGAAGAGAGAAGTACCTATTGGAAATACATTTTCATTTAGGAAAGTTATAACTTCCGATAAGGCACTCTCCCTCCACTCACAAGATTAGCTTGAATCCCGTATTGAAATGGAGAAGGAACCGGTGTGAGGGAAGCACATTGTATCTCCCAGAAACATCTGAAGGACCCCCCTGAAATGAGGGAACAGATCAGGTGATTTGAGGAGGAGTACTGCACCACATCTGAACCAGGTATCTCTTTGCCAGGAACATCAACATGATCAGGAGGACCAGACATGACGGAACATTAAAGGGTGCATGCGCGTGGGAGAGCATAGTTTATCAATGTGATCTTAAACAGAAATCAGAATCACTCAATCCACGATGGAAAGTGGGTAAGTGAGAATCTGTCCCATGGTGTACAGTGGCTGGGGCTCGATGGACCAGACTCGGTAAGTCAACTAGCCTGATGCCAGTGATCCATGAATATGTCATCCAGAATCTGAGGGAGGTCCATTGTATGCACTTAACCTCCTTGACCATGAAACTAGCCCAATATGACTCTAGGTTGGTAACAACCTCGTCACCCAACGAGGACCCAGGGCAGTAGTGGAAACAGGCCACACAGACCTTCTGGAACCCACAAAACAGAAGACAAGTCGAGAGGGGAAGATGTACAACCCAAAACCTGTGTGAGGACTTATGTGATTGGTTCACTCGATCTCCAAAACCTCACTTGCTGGGTACCAACATCTGCACGAGGGTAGAAGCAGGGCACCCAATGGAATGGGTGAACTGCATTTCAGCATCTCAACTCCGAGAAATAGTCACTCATCTGGAGTATCTTGTAACTCCCTCTACACCGGTAGAACACCACTGCCTTACTCTGAACTGAATGGTTATAGCCATCTTTGTGGAACCCATCCAGCAGGTTGCCTCAATGGTCAACCACCCCAGCAGCTTGGAATTGGTAAGTAGTAAGGACTCCCGTACTCCACTGGAAGGAAGGGGGGAAAGGGCAGTGAAGAGTTTGGACGGATTGCAACACTCAAGACAGTGCAATGGGTGATCCCAAAACCCTATTTTGAAAAGCAGACCACATGGATTTATTCAATCTAGGCATGGCAAGGATGGGCAGCAATCACCTTCTGCTTTACCCATGCCATCCCTGGGTGGTATGGTGTGGGACAGGCACATTACGATGCAATTATCTCAAGGAATTTACACTCAACATGGCTTGCAGTGCAGATTTTATATCAAGATGTCTGCTAATGGTTATAGCTATCTAAGTGGAACCCATTCCGAGTACAGACAGAATACCTGGTCAGGCACCACTCGCCACAGAGCAGGATCCAAAGTGAAGCTGAAGGAGGGGGCCCCTGAAAGAAAAGAAAGCATTAGTGAGGGCTTACCTCATGTCACAGCGGCACCAAAGTCTATAAAATAGTGGCAGGCAGAAACAGCAATGTAGGATAGGTAGTGAAAGATAAACATGTGTGGAGTCGTCTACATGCCCAATCATAGAATCTCTTCCAATGCCCAACAAAAAAGGAGAGGCAAGGTGATGGATTTGATGTGAGAAATTGTGAAAGAGATCATGCTGGGAAAGAGATAAGGAGGAATAGGCCAACTAGATCAAACATCGAACCCAATTGGTCAGGGTGACCAGGAAAAGATCACAGGTAGAAGAAGGTTGTCAAAGGATAAAAAGGCGAGAATGAAGACCCTGGAAAGAAGCCGTGCAAGCAACAAAACAATGGAGGGCACAGACAGGAGAGAGGAGACAGATCAGGACAAGAGTAGAGATGAGATATAGAGGATAGCCAGATAGGGAGAAAAAAGGACATACCTTGTTGAGCCGCAGAGGTCTTGGGAAGGTAGGTAGAATCTGGACAAAGGATAAGGTAGGAGGAGTGGTACAAGATCCTGGTAATTTCAAGGGCAAAAATATCCAACCTACGATGCCTGCAGGCCAGGAGGAGAAGGAAATATGCCTTCAAAGAGAGGTGAAACAGGGAACACATAGACAGAGGTTCAAGGGGAGGTAAAGTGAGTAAAGTCCAGGAGTGAATGACACCTTGGTGGCTGACAAAGCCAAAAGGAATGGATCAACATGGAAAGGACAGGGGAAACAAAGACCCTGCAGAAGTGGGAAAAACTGAATGTATGGGATAATTGAGGAGACCAAGGAACTCCTCTGATAAAACTATGTAAAAACTTGGAGATACAGGCAACCATTGGGAGAAAAGCCTGGAAACCCTGAGTCAATGCCCAGGAGTGATAAATGCTCAACTTGCTTTGATAGACAGCCAAAGAAGAAGGGCAAATGGAACAGGCTAAATGTGAAGCTACTCTGCAAGAAAAACTGGAACACCTTGCCAAAAGCCAGGTGTGAAGAAGGAGGACAGATGGCATGGGATGGAGAGCAAGTGACTGAAGTTGACAGAGCAGATCAGGAGGAAAGGGAAGAGGAAGGGGAGGTGGAGCAAATGATGTAACCAAGGTTGAGCAGGCCAGTAAGGAGCAGTCAGAATGCCATGCATGGAGTGACATGGATGAGGGAGACCATCTGATGAAGTAAATGGATGGTAGGGTAAACATAAAAGAACAGGAATCAACAGCCAAGACTTGAAGATGGGGGACCGGGGACCAAAACCGAGGTAATTTGTGATTGAGAGTGGTGGTAAAGGCATCGATATGGGCATACCCAGATGCAAACAGAGTCCAAATAATGGCAGGATGCAGGTACCACTCCATGGGATAAACTAGATCCAGTCCAGAAAGATGATCGGCTACGAGACTGAAAACACCTGGTACATAACGTGCCATTAAACAAATGTGGTGTTTGTGGGCCCAAAAAAAGAAGAACCATACTGCAAAAACCTAGGGATCTAGACCTGATGCCCCCTTGGTGATAGTTGGAATGGATTGTAACCAGCCAGCAAGTGGCAAGAGAAAGAAATTGAACCAAAGCCCAACAAACAGCCAGGAATTGGAGAAGGGAACTCTCATCCACAGACCAACAACCCAAAACCTTTAAGTTATCCACCAAAGCACCACAGCCCTGAAGGGATGCATCTATTAGCA